CAAAACTGCCAAACTGGAAAAATCGAAAATGTCCACTATGTTTCCAGTTTGGCTACTTTGGCCTTAAACTTATTTTTTCCCTTTAAATTGTCACTTTAGTGAATAACCCTGTAAAACGTTATCCAAGCCTCTACTCCCTTAATCCTAAAAAAGGCTACCCTAACTCTATGGTCCCCAACCCTTACCTTAGTAGCATCACTGCCCTGCAAGATTGCTTGCGGTTATTGTTGCGGAGGTCATGTGAAAGCAGCATCTTTATAGGAGACATTTAAATGCTCTCTTTTAATGTTAATGTTTTAAATGTATACTGAGAGCAGAGCAGTTTGTCATTATCACTTCAACTTGTCTGACGCAAATGAAGCCAGATCAGTGCTGTGAGTAATGGGAGTTATTTTTCAGCTTAAACTGAATGGCCTATCAACACTATTCAGTGACATGAGATAAACCCCAAAACAGACTTTGTAAATGTATGCCATAGATAACAATGCTGGGATATAGCGGAGTTAAAGAATTTTATTTGTAACACAGGCATTTTGCCCTAGAAATGAAAAAGGTGTCTTTTGAATCAATCATAATTCACTGTTTAGCAAATCGCCCGCTTCGACTTGTTCCAGAGCACCACATTCTGAACCAGATGTGCCATTGCTGGTAAGCAAATAAAAAAGAGGCCTTTCTCTGTAAAGATAACATTCAATCGAAGGACTCAAGGTCCAGTTGGCAGTGTGTAGCTTCCGCTGCTATTTAACAACCTTTCTTATGAAGCTTTGACATGAAGCACAATGGTTTTAGAGTGGAGCATTATTGCCAGCCAATCCACTGCTATCAAAGGAGAAAAATAACTTGTGAACCTATTGCAAGGAACATATGGCTTGATGCATACTATATAGCTGGTTTCTAATAGCAACAGAAAAAAAGAACTAGAGTGGAAGATATCCTTTAGAAATCACATTTTCTAATCAATAGTCAATTCTAAGGTCTTCGTGGTCGCAGTTTGATCATTATAGAGTTTATTTATCAATGTTAAAGGGCAATAATTTGTTCTAATACAATTCAAAGCAATTGAGGAATTATATATTGTTATATGTTGAATAAATAGATAAACTAATATAGGAAATATTTGAAAAGCAAAACTGATATATTTTTTTAAATTTAATTTGTGTGGGTTTTGTCAAATGATTGTGGTTTTAATGTAATAAGTATCAAAATTATTATTTATTACTTAAATTTTCACTGCTTTTATATGGAAACCTGAATCACGTACGTAGATTATAACCTATCCCCTGCTATATTGCTGCTTTTTCTCTCGCTAGATATGTAGTATAGCCTGAAATACTTATTTTTAAACTCTCGCTTAGCAACCACTTGGCAACATACAATGGGAGAGACGGTTATAAAGCTAATAACATGCAATGGACTAGGATGCTGCTTCCCCAGCTGTTCTACTGCAACTCCCATAAACTTTGGGACCTATTTACTAAACACCGATTTTGCTTTATGTTGAGGAGTATCCTATCTTTAATGCATTTTATAAAAGTGACAGTTTTTATGAAACAACTGACACCTCCATGCATGACAGACAGCCAGGATGGTTCTTTTCCTTCTTCCGTTAGCTCCCCTAAGCTAATGGAGGTAGCAAGTGTGCCTGTCACTGCAAGTCCCCCCAAAAATTGACCTCTTCTTCAGGATGTGTGTGTGTGTGGGGAGACTGTGATTTACAAACAGTGGAGGTGTGGCTAGGTTGCATAAACAAAGTGTTTTAAAGGGGTTCTATAGTGCCAGGAAAACAAACTTGTTTTCTTGGCAATATAGATTTCCCTTTTGCCAAGGCCCCCTCCCGCGGCACTGAAGGGGTTACGAACCCCTTCAGTCACTTACCTGGGTCCAGCGCCAATGTCCCTCGGCGGTGCTGGCTCAGCTCCGCCCACGCTCCTTCCCTGCCGATGTCCGCCAGCAGGTAAGATCTAATGCACATGCGCGGTAATGGCCGCACTAGCATTAGGATCTCACCATTATTCAATGCTTTTGATGGGGAAAATCTGACGCTGGAAGTTGTCATGCATAGTGTGAGGACGTTCAGCATCTGGTAATGGACCAAAAGTCAGTTTCAATTCCGGAAGTCCCTCTAGTGGCTGTCTGGTAGATAGCCACTAGATGAGGAGTTAACCCTCTGATGTAATTATTGCAGTTGATAAAAACTGCAATAATTACCACTACACTGTTAAAGGACCACTATAGTGCCCTGATGGTGCCCCCACCCTCAGGGCCCCCCTCCCGCTGGGCTCTAGGGGGAGGAAGGGGTTAAACTTACCTCTTTCTCCAGCGCCGGGCGGGGAGCTCTCCTCCTCTTCGGCTGAATGCGCATGCGCGGCAAGAGCCGCGTGCGCATTCAGCCAGTCCATAGGAAAGCATTCACAATGCTTTCCTATGGACGCAAGCGTCTTCTCACTGTGAAAATCACAGTGAGAAGCGCGGAAGCCCTCTAGTGGCTGTCAATGAGACAACCACTAGAGGCTGGATTAACCCATAGGTAAACATAGCAGTTTCTCTGAAACTGCTATGTTTACAGAAAAAAGGGTTAATCCTATCTGGACCTGGCACCCAGACCACTTCATTGAGCTGAAGTGGTCTGGGTGCCTATAGTGGTCCTTTAAGGGTGATGTGAGTTTGCACCCAGACCACTTCAAGGAGCTGAAGTGGTCTTATTGCCTACAGTGTCCCTTTAACTCTAAAGGCAGAGAATTGAGCAGTGAGACTGCTGTAGCATGATCTATACAACAAAACCACTTAATTGAGCTCAAGTGGTTTTGGAGCTTAGAGTGTGCTCTTTTTTTTTTATATATATATATATTTTTAAAGGGAATGGGAGTGGCATTAGAGTTTGTTACAATACCCTACTCTGTATCAGTGTAAAATGTCACCATTGAGTTATATAGATTTGGATCATTTCAACAAGTAACAAAACAGCCAAATGGAGCCACAAATTGGTTAGAATCTGTGATACCGAAACAATGGTTTGATGGATCACGTGAAGGTGGCAATTGAGATTCACAATGTAAATAGAGGATGACTACACCACTTCTCGCTCCTGCTTTCATCTCCTGCTTTTCTTTCCCTCTCTGCTTAGTGGTTATGGTGCTTAATGTATCCCTTTAATTGCTCACAACAAGCTCTCTAAACCCCTATAAATTGTAAGCTCACATCCCAACCTGCTAAAGTAAACAGTTTGTGTAATAGTGTAAGAATTACTATTATACTAAAGTCATGGGTAAGGCTCTTTATTCTTCATATATTATATTGGGTAAAACCGCTCACCTTTGCTGAATTATAAATATATCTAAAAAGGCTAAAGACATTTGGGGCCAGTCACTTTGTAATAAAGCTCTGTTCAAAGACAAGGTCCTTTTCAATTTTATTGGGAAAGTAACATTTTCCAAACAAATATTAATTAAAATATGTTTTTATAATTGGTCTTTTTCTTGTGATCATTTTATAAATCTATAATATTTTTGCAACTGCCTTATTATAATATTTTGGCTCATACAATCAGACATTCAGTCAGTCATTTTCCCACAAATCTCACACAATTTTATTTCCGATCTTTTTAGATTTATTTCACATACATTGTCCCTGCAACTTTGTTTTGTTAATTTCACCATGCATTAAATACAGTGACAGCAATGGCTGACAGAAGCTGCAAGTGTAAAAATAGCTGTGGCTGCAGTATTGAACGTATGCAACAAGCCTAACACTCACATAGTGGTATATATCTAATTTAGATACTGTAACATTGGGTATTGCTGTTCTTGGTATGCCTCCAGTAGTGGGTATAATAATCGATCCTGGGATGCCCCTAGCAGTGAGTATTATTGTTCCTACGATGCCCCCAGCATGGGGTATAATACTCCCGAGATGCCCTCAGTAAGGGGTATTATTGCTACTAGGATGCCCCAGCAATGATTATTATTCCTAAAATGCCCCCAGCAGGGGGTATTAATGCTCCTGGGGTGCACCTAGTAGGGGGTATTAATGCTCCTGGCATTTCCCTAGCAGGTGGCATTAATGCACATGGGATGCCCCCTGTAGGGGGTGTTAGTACTCCTGGGATGCCCCTAGTAGGGAGTATTAATAATCCTGGGATGCACCTAGTAGGGGGTATTAATAATCCTGGGATGCCCCCAGTAGGGGGTATTAATAATCCTGGGATGCCCCCAGTAGGGGGTATTAATAATCCTGGGATGCCCCCAGTAGGGGGTATTAATAATCCTGGGATGCCCCTAGCAGGGGGTATTAATAATCCTGGGATGCCCCTAGCAGGGGGTATTAATAATCCTGGGATGTCCCCAGTAGGGGGTATTAATAATCCTGGGATGCCCCCAGTAGGGGGTATTAATAATCCTGGGATGCCCCTAGTAGGGGGTATTAATAATCCTGGGATGCCCCTAGTAGGGGGTATTAATAATCCTGGGATGCCCTCTCTGCTTGCAGGGAGCTCTGCAGCCTGATGGCTCCCTGGCTGATGTTTCCAGGCTCCAGCACCTCATCAGCACTTTTTTCCGTGTGAAAGAGAAAGGGAGAGGGAGCTGAGCCGGAAAGTCCTTAAAAGGAGCAGGAAGGAACCCCGCCGGAACCTGCCATACATGGCCATCGCCTTACATGGACTGACCGGCCGGGGTTTCCGGAAGGTGGCGGGGGAGGCGGGGAGAAGGTGGTGCCCGTGTGCCCGCTGCCGGGGATGTGCAGGCCGGGCCCGGGTACCCTGGGCCCGCTTCCCTGACTGGGCGCCGGGTACTATTCTAGCAGAAAGTCCCGGGTTCCAGCGCTGCCGCCGCAGAGATACACGGAGTTCCACGCTCAGTGTTTCCCGTTCCAATGCGACGTCACGGGTCCTCCAGCTCCCTCCAAATAAGGGCTTCCTGCACTCCATATATGGCCATGTACGTCACGAATCGGGGCGGGGCCTGCTGTCTACGAACCCTTTAAATAGGAGCGGATCCCAGGGAGCCGCGAGAGATTCCAGCGGGCAGGACTGGGGGAGCCGTGCGGGGGCAGCGATAGCACAAACCGGCGACAACCCCAGCAGCAGCCACCGCGGCTCCGACCACATCTAACAGCACAACAAGCACCTGTTTACCATTAATATCACAGTCACACACACAGTGTCCCTATCACCCTCAGCCCCACAGTGCAGGCACAGGGTGCATGCCACACAGCTGGCCACACAACATTCACCTGGCAGCCGCAAGGACCACATGGCATCAGCCAAAACAGAAATGCTCATCTCACCTCTGCAAATCTCTGACCCCTTCGGCTCTTTCCCACATTCCCCCACCATGGATAACTACCCCAAACTGGAAGAAATAATGCTCCTCAACCCAGGGGGATCTCAGTTCCTGGGAGCTACAGTCCCCGAGGGCAACGGATTCAACTCCCCAGGGGATGGAGCTGACCATTTCGACCAGCTAGCTGCAGGTAAGCATCCTCCAACCCTCCTGTGTAATGTATTTATTAAATCCTAAATCAGCATCCTCTAACCCCTATCTGTAATGTATCCATTAGATCAGCACCCCATCACCCTCTGTATTGGATGCATTTAATCAATTCCCTGTCACCCTCATCTGTGATGTACTATTAAATCAGCACCCTATCACCCTCTTCTTAAATGCATTTTCTATCCCCCATGGCTGTCTCTGCATCCTGCATGATAATGAGGTCACCTGCTACCCAGCTTCTTCATGGGTGCACCTGTAATACCTGTTCCTGTTAGAATAAAGCATGAGTATTGATGGTATGCTACTGTATTGCATGCTGCTTTGGATGGATGTCATGTCAGAATCTGTCAATGTAATCTAGATTCTGTATGTAAATAAGACAGAAGACAGCTGATGCTTGTACTGTATTGGAGAATGGGTCCATGTTTCTTCACAGCGATAGGATGTGCACATTGGTTGTGAAAGGAATACTAATGAAGGATGTAGCTAGGGATTCTCTGTTTGCGTCAGATTTTGCTTGATGTGAGATTTGTGCCATTACTCTTCCAGGAATGTGCAGGGTGTTAGTATGAGATGAACAGCAGATATCTATAAATAATCATGTAATATTTCTGCATAACAAATGATATTGGGCTGGTTGCTTTGTTTATTTACAAGTTGTAACCCATGCTTTTGCTCTGTTTGTAGATGCCTTCTCTGAAATGTCACTGAGCAACGACAAGACAGGGATTGAAACCAGCTATGCCAACCAGAACAACAGGTTGCCATCCCTGACATACACTGGTCGCTTCACCCTGGAGCCTGCACCTAACAGCGGTAATACCCTGTGGCCTGAACCTCTATTCAGCCTGGTCAGTGGACTGGTAGGGATGGCCAACACACCCACCTCTTCAGCTGCTTCTTCTTCGCCATCTTCTTCCTCGTCTTCATCCCAGAGCCCTCCTCTGAGCTGTTCAGTGCAATCAAATGAAAGCAGCCCTATCTACTCGGCAGCACCAACATTTTCCAATTCTAGCTCTGACCTATTCTCAGACCAGTCATCTCAGAATTTTCAAAACAATTCTGGTACTTCACTTCAGTACCCACCTCCAGCCTACCCTATCACAAAGACCAGCTTTCAGGTGCCAATGATCCCAGACTATCTGTTTCCACAGCAACAGGGAGATGTCAATCTGGTGTCTCCAGATCAAAAACCTTTCCAGGCTATGGAAACCAGAACCCACCCACCTTCCCTAACCCCACTGTCCACCATTAAGGCCTTTGCTACACAGACTGTTTCACAAGACCTCAAGACTATCAACAGTTCATATCAATCTCAGCTTGTCAAGCCAAGCAGGATGCGGAAATACCCCAACAGGCCTAGCAAGACCCCTCCTCATGAGAGACCCTATGCATGTCCAGTTGAGTCCTGTGACAGGCGGTTTTCCAGATCTGATGAACTTACAAGGCACATCAGGATCCACACTGGGCAGAAACCCTTCCAGTGCCGTATATGCATGCGGAATTTTAGCAGGAGCGATCACTTGACCACTCATATCCGCACACACACTGGGGAGAAGCCATTTGCTTGTGACATTTGTGGTAGGAAGTTTGCAAGAAGTGATGAGAGAAAGAGGCACACAAAAATTCACCTGAGACAAAAGGACAAAAAATCTGACAAAGCAACTCCAGTCTCTGTTTCTTCCCCTATTTCCTCCTATTCACCAAGCGCATCAACTTCCTACCCCTCACCTGTGCCAACCTCATATTCATCTCCAGTGTCCTCTTCCTACCCATCACCTGTTCACAGTTCCTTCCCATCTCCTTCCACAGCAGTTACATATCCATCTGTTACCTCCACCTTCAATAGCCAATGCATTACCAGTTTCCCCTCTTCAATAGTCACCAATTCCTTCAGCTCACCTGTGACCTCTGCCCTGTCTGACATGTCCGTAACCTATTCTCCACGGACAATTGAGATCTGCTAAGATTCTGATATGACAGGTGCACAAAATTGCATAGGCACAACGTGAAGACTTCCAAAGTATGGTCTCATAGATGGGGAGATTGATGACCAACAGACTTACATTATACAGCAAGGCCATTATAAACTGATAAGCTTCAAATGCCTAAGAAACTGCCATTTTAATTTCCCATTGTTTTCAAAAGACTTGATTTGCATGTATGACTGAAATAATTTCAACATGATCCTTTTAAAGATCAACTTTTATTTGCTTAAAGGGATTTTTACTATATACATAATGTATATTGTACATGTGCAAGGTATTTTGTTTTGTTTTTTGTTAGAATTTTTGTTTTAAACTTTTTTTTGTACTCTTGATGTGAATTTTTTCCCCCCCTTGCATATTCATATGGTATTATTTGAAATTAATAGGGACGCCGTCTGTACATGGTTTCTAGTGATAATGCTAGCATACATTTAAAAAGAACTTATTTTAAGGAAAAGCACTTATGTATTCAAGCATGTGTAAGGGTAATTTCATAATTATTTTAATTTTGTTTCTTTTGTAAATATCATATCATCAGATGGTACTTTTCACATATGTCAAAAAAAAAAAAAGTTTTGTTTTCTGGGTTCCGTAACTTGGTGCCTTTTTGTGAAGCCTTGCTGATGTTTTGAAATGTGCATTTGCGTAAATCGATGCATTGCATCTAGCCTTAAGGTGAAAGGGAATTCTTCAAGGAATGTATAAAAGACCTCAAAAGGTACAGAGGGAGCGACAGAGAGAGAGAGCATTTCTGTTTTGAATGTAAGCAAAAACACAAAAGTATATTTTTGTAATTGAAATGTAAATTTATAAATATATATTCAAGAGTTGGAATGTTGTAGTTACCTACTGAGTAGGCATGGATTTTGTATGTTCTGAACATGCGGTTCATTATTTTGTGGTCCTCATTTTTACTTTGTATTTGTGTTTTGTTTAAACAAAGTGACTGTTTGGCTTAAAACACATTGGATGCGCTTTACTGCCAATAGGATATTTGGTGTACAACATATCCTGCGAAAAAATAAAATCTCTAAAATATTTTACATTTTGTAGTCCTACTAGTTTTTGTGTCACATTCTTTCGAACCCTTGCTAAAATATCTTGAAGTGTCTACAGGTTGTCTACCCTGTCCTAAAATAAAAGACCTAAGAGCATCTAAGAGTAATATATCATTCTGCTTAGGTAGCTGAGGTTTAGTGTCTACTCACCTGGAATAGAAATGTATCTGGTACTTGACAAATGTTTCCAAATTCCGATATACTACACAGAATACCTTAAACCAGAAATCAATTGGTTAAAACATTATGTAGTAACTTCGTAAAACACTTGCAAAGTTTTGGCAAAAATATCAGTAAAAAAACCCAAACATTTCTTAAATTTGGAGATTAGTCACATCTGCTTTTTGCCCTTAAGTTTCAAAGTTTGTCTTCAACTCAACACAACTATAGATTCAGTGTATTGACCACTCTAGACCTGCAGTCTATTGGAGGCCGTGTAGACACATACTAAGTAGTATACACAATACACAGTATGTCAGCTGAAAAGTATTAACATGCAATGTGCAATGGTTCGGGGCAATTGACGAAACCTATATAGTTAAAATAAAATCAATTTCTGTAAAGCATTTGCAGTTCGTCAATGCAGAAGTATAAACCGTATGAGGAACTGCAGTCTGAAAAGGTTCACAACACCTGCACTAAAATGGATTCACAGGCCCATATCTGATCTAAACCACGAATCTACGGTGTGAGAGGTATGCAGAATCTACAATGGGTAACTTTAAATGAACAGGACAATATTTATTCTCTGCCCCTCTTTGCCAAACACTGTCAAGAGATTGCTGCCTGTAAAGTTATATAAATTCAGATTTTTATTTTATTTGGGGAGTAATGTAAACAAGTCATAACTGGACGAACTGACATTTATACTTGAATAGGCTACTAACTGAGCCATACACGAGCCACAGTAGGCCTCTGGCTCACACAAGGAAATGTAGAGAGTTGTAATTCAACAAAAGATTCTTACTGTGATTTAACCATCAGAACTATACAATAAGCCCTACTCTGACTCAGAAAATTATAAAGTCTCTAATGTCAGTAATTCACTAAAGCTGGGATGTGTCAGGACTATGACATTTGGGATGAGTTAGCACAACTGGAAATATAATTTACAACTTAACTGGGATAAGGATTACTTTCAAAAGGGGTTAATTTTGGTTTAAATTTTACAAATGATTTTCACAGTTCATCTCTGCCCCGTTGTTAATAGGCAATTCATAGTTGTTCAGGGTCACAAAATGAAAGCCTCTTTGGTTTAGTTTATATCAATAGATCATATCCGTATACCGAGAACTAAATACATATTTTTAAAGGGATTAAATTGATATGTGTAGGGGGTTTCCATTCTACCATATTAAATCTATATTAAGAGCAGCTAATGCAAGTATTAAATTATATATAATGTTAACACCGTATTTTTCGAGAGCTTTTAAAAAAAATAAAAAAATGAAATCCTACAAATATCCAGAGTATATATGATTGCTACTGCAGCTTACGTTTTTTGAGTAATCTGGGCTTCAGGAGGTTATATTTCTATACCCCAAAAAAGATTCATATTGCAGGAGGTAAATTTACATAAAAATGGCAGAAAGTGGTCAAGAAGGTGCAATTGTCATGAAAACCAATTGAACAGCAATGTTTCGGGGAGATTTATCAAGGCAAAAACTGGGTGCTATTTTGAGAAAAAGTGCTAAATAAGGATCAGTTGAGCTGACTTGCACGGTTATTCCTCTTTAGTAATTAATTTTATTAGTTTAATGGGAATCATTAGGCCCTTTCAACTTCACAAGAAAAAACAGGTAAGTTCAGGATAAGTACGTAAGTAATCATATAGGTTTTTCTGTTGTAGGTATTCAGCGGTAAAATTGTTCCTACCCACAAAGTCTTATCTCCAAAACGCTTTCCCTGTTTGACAAAAAAAATTAAATAAAAAATTCAACATGTAGTTTCTTCAATTTAAGACAAAACATTGTGTCAAATTGTCCACTTCCATAGTGTTAGGAATACAGTCATGTTTTCCTAATGCTGCTACAGTGTTGTAGTCCCTATTTAGATTCAGCCACCTTCCACCCCCCAAGTGCAATACCTATTTTCCAGCAGCAAGACTCACTTGGTGCTGCTGTCTACCCGCCTCCCACGGAGTCATCAGGCTGGTGTTGCTTCGTTGCCTTATCGTTCAATGCTTCTCATAGTATATCATTGAGGATGAGAAGCACAAGAGAAACAAACCAAGCAAATTGCAAAATGTAAACTAAAACTGTTTTAAAATCTTTCCATATCTACAATTGTAGCCTAAGATGTGCAGATTCTTTGTGAGTTCTACCCAGTTTGGTGCACAATAACATTAGGACAAATCAGTAGCTGTCAGTGTGTCAGCATACTCTGTCAAATATTTAAAGTGAATTTTTCATATTTATGCCAATATAGCTAAACTGAAAACATGGCTGACTTGGTCAGAGACTGCTGGCCATTTTAAAGCCAGGGGCAAGTTCACACATTACGCCCATTTTGTGAACCAACCCAGTTTTTCACCCCTATAATATTTTATATAACTTTTAATGCATTTAAAGCATTAAATTAAACTGAATGCTATGAAGACACATTAAATATAAATATATATTTTAATTTTAATAGCAATTAAAAAGATTTACATTATATCATGTTTGAAGATGACACAAAACTTTGAAAAGTAATAAAATGTGAGCAGGATATTGCTTTGCTGCAGAGGGATTTGGATAGATTGGGAGACTAGGCACTAAAATGTCAGATTAAATTTAATGTAGAGAAATGCAAAGTTAAGCATCTTGGGGTCAAGAATACACAAGCAACTTACACCCTAAATGGTAGTGAATTAGGGATAACCACACAACAGCAGGATTTGGGAATTGTTATAGACAAATTAGGAAGCAATATGCAATGTCAAGCGTCAGTTGCTAAGGTCAGTAAGTTGTGATAACTCTCTGTTTACCGAGTAAATCCCAAATAGTGTGCAAAGTGTATTGTCTGTTTCTAGCTAATCTTTTTGTTTTAATAAACATAAACAGGGTACTCTGCTAATTATGAAAAATTGACAAAACAAATTAAAGAATATAGGGAAATTTAATCGATATGAAAATATTTTCTTGACTTAAAATTTGCAATTCCTTGATTAAGTCTAGATACTGCAGTTCTCCATTTGGGCTAGTCCAACCCTGGAGAGCATTGATGCCCATCGTTCACCAACCCAAACAGAAGAGAGTTGCACATAAACCCAAAAAGTGATGGACTGCTACATTCCCTGCAATAGTCCTTGTTGTCCCTTCTCTTTTGTGCCATTAGACTTAGAGATGTGGCTAAAGGATTAATCTTTAAGGCTGCAACCTATAACGCCAGTATGCTTCTGGCCGGGGGGCAGTAGCCCACAGACCAGTTCAACTCTTTTATCCAACAGGCTATTTACACCGATCAGCAGAATCTGCTATCCTATGTGTTGGCTCATAGTGCTTTTACTGCACTATCACTTTTAACCCCTTAAGGACTCAACTTCTGGAATAAAAGGGAATCATGACGGAATATATCCGCCATGTGTCCTTAAGGGTTTAAAAAAAAAATGCCAAAGTTGTAATGGTGTTTACAGTGATCCTTTAAGTCTATCGTGTTTCTAAGTCTTATTTTACGTAACATTTCAAGGCACAATTTTCAGAATCCCTGATAACAATTTACAGTTAAGTGAATAACTCTGAGAGGGAGAATTATCAAGACAAAAACAGATGCTAGTCTTGGGAATGGTGCTAAATAAGGAATAATCACAAATGCAACGTTTTTACAGCAGTTAGCACTTTCCCCAGAATATTTGTTTTACATTGCTAAATCTCCACCGTCAAATAATGTCTAACGTTATGGAAAAAGAATTGTGTGTTGAAGTGATTCACAATTCAAACCGAATGCTTGTAATTTATATTAAACTCTGGCAGTGTAGTTGGATTCAACACTCTTGCTGTTTCAGTCTGTTAAGATTGTGCCAGATTTAAGGAAACGTCATACAGTTATTGCACGTTAGAAAATATCTTTATGCCACATTGAAATGCCTGACACACATGCCAGTCCCACCAGAGGTGAGGTAGCCCATGTAGAGCAGAGGCCATCCATCACTAACATAACAGAGAGTACAGGAATTCTGCATTCCTTTGTCAGGGATGCACCGTACCATTTATACGTATCATGGCTTTCTTGACTTGTTAGTCATGCAAATGACTCATTTGAAATCAAAACAGAGCAGCGGTGATAAAAGATTTATTTTGCAGACACCTGTTATTTTCACAAACTGGCTGGAGTCGAATCCCTTGTTTTTAATGCATTATTGATATAATGAAGTAAAAAACAGAAATGCAAAATAAACAGTAAAAAAAAAAGATAAAATGCTCACATCTTCCTATTTCCATTGTTTGCTTCATATCTGCAGGTACAACATGAATGAGGAAGTGGTGAGCGTTCTTAATCATTGGGAGCAATGTGTTTATCCCATAAATCCCAAGGCCTGTGGTTAAATGGTTACTCCAAACACCATGGCCACTTCTTCTTTTAGACATGTTTTGGAGGAAGTCATGTGTCTTTGCAGTGTTTCAGCTTTAAACACTGCATTGCCAGAGTTATTTGCCCTTGTGTGCAGGGTTAGTTACAGTCCCAGAACTCGTAAATTTGGGAGCCCGAAGCTCTGTTCCAAGCTGTGTAATGTCAATTCTGTGCATATTTTACGTCTTTCGTCAGCACGCACAGCACGCTGGCAGTAGAGATAATTCTGATTCTGAGTCTTGCGTCTCCTCTTCCTCCCTTCCTGCATTCCTCCTGCCCCCCTATCCCATTGTTTAATTTTGTTAGGATCCCACCCTATCTCCCTCTGCACCCCCTTCTCCCCATTTCCTTGTCGGGTCAGAGTGCACTCACGCGCTTTGTTAGCTAAATGTCAAGTTAAAGGCTTCTCTATGAGAAACACTTGATTTCATGTA